ATTATCCAAGTAAATTTATTTATAAATATATTTCTATTTCTAATTAAGTCTATTTTTATCTTAGTTCAATATTTTATTTAAAATTCCTTCTATTTAGTTTATTTTTTAAAAAAATATTTTAAAATTTTTTAGCGCTTATTTTAATTGCAATATATCTATTAGTATACTCATCCAAGTATACTTACTTTGTAATATATTTCTATTTGATACTATCTATTCTTAACTCTGTTCATTATTTTATTTAAAACTTCCTTTATTTAGTTTATTTTAAAAAAATCTTTGTGGTTTGTTTAATTGCAAAATAACTATCCAGGTGGTGCCACGGTTTTTTCCATCTCGTGTAGTCGTTTCAATCTTTTACGTCATTTCGCGTGGGATCTTATCGTAGAAGGTTGAATTTTCGATTTCCAGTTTTTATTTTACATGTAAGTTTTTATCGTAATTTTTTCTATATAATTTTTTTTCATTATTCCTCTCCTTGAGAGATTCATTATTGTTTTCTTTTCTTAATTTCATTTTAATATGTTATCAGGTTTTTCTTCCACGTGTTGTATTAGGCTTAACTTTTCAACTTGGGTTTTTTTTCCCTATTAAGTCGAAAATGTCTGCTGTACGGGGAAGGTTGGATCCATAAAGCATTTCTAGCCCTAATTCGTTGACCTAATTCAGTGGTAGCTTTAGAAAGCATAATAGGTCTCCAGTTTAGTCCAAACACTTTTGTATCTACATTTGTTGTGTCTGGTGAATTCCAGTTACTTCCTGCGTTAGCACTGTAGGTTCTAGTGCTTCTTCACTTTCATTTTATTTTACTATATATATATAGGAAAAGAGTGAAAAAAGAAACTGTTCTTTTAAACAAAAGTAATAAAACTGTAAAAATAAGAAATACTTGAAGCTTATATATAATGAATTTAGTTATATATATGTTACTGATTTTTTGCTTATAATGCTGTATTTAAAATATTTAACAAAATATATTAAAATAGCTTGTTTGTCAACTGTATTTCTTCGATTCTTAAGGAAAGAAAAAATATATATAAGTTAAAAACTGGGATTTATAGGATAGACATCAATACAGCAAAGAGAGTTCCAAACTCTTTGAATGATTTTGTCCATGGACTGCTAATAAAACTTTTAATTTATAACTAGCTGGAATACACGTTACTTACAAGGATTAAGTCTTTAAAAATAAGATTCCACACAGCTAACAGTGAGAAATTTTTTGTGCCAAACTCGGTGAAGGATAGTAAATATAAAACAATTTTTTTCATTTAACCATGGCCATTATGTATTAAGTTATGTTCAGAAAATTTTCGAGCTTTCATTGGAGGAATGATTTACAGAAATATGTATTTTAAACTAAAAGAGAAAATTAAGTGCGCGAAAAAGGTAAAAAGAGGTAAGCAAATGAAACTATGAATACATACAACAGAAAAATAAAAAGAAATATAAATTTCGTCCCCGCCGACTTTGAGACAAAAAAAACAAACAAACTTTAAACAAATAAATAAAAAAAATTGTCTGGGGAACATATAGTATGAAACATTGCCGTAAATAACATACATCCTGCAGAATTCAAATCAAAGAAATTAAATTATCATTAAAATGAAATAACAATATAAACGCGAATTGAATTCTAAAGAGAGATATCTAGAACAGATAAGAACGAATCTAGAGTTGATTTAAAAAATTGAATGCGTAAATTAAACCACTTTTATTTAGAAATAATGGATAGTTCGATATAATATGCAACAGATAATATTATGTCAAAATAAAAAAAATTATAATTCATTTCAAATAAAGTTAAAAACTATCTAAAACATATTACTCAATAAAATTAATTAAAGAATAAGTTGAAATTGAAATTATGATTACTTAAACTTGTCAAAAACTAACAATTCATAACAGTGCGAAGGCATAAACTGAAAATTTTACTACATTATTAGCTGAAATTAAAGTTAAAAACTACCTATTAAAGATATGAAAGAATAAATTAACGTGATACTACATAAGAAAATAAAATATATTTAATTTGGGACGAGTATCATCAAAAGGCCAAACACTGAACTGTACACATAAATTATATCACCAAAACGAAATGGCAGTTGCTAAAAGACTACTTTTTTACGATTTATTTATTTATTTATTTATTTTTTTTTTGAAAAAGAGTTAAAATTCTGTTACAAAGAACACACACACACACACAAATAAAAAAAAAGAAACATATGTCAATAAATAAATATAGTAATACTTAAAATACGAAATAATTTCTAAGAAATTACTTAAAGAATAATTTATCACATTCAGCTATTGACGTAATATTGAAAGAGCTATCAAGAATCAATTCAAAACAGAATTAAAAAAAACAAAACCTGAAGCAAATTTTGAGTAAATGCTCTCGAGCTGTAAATTATTATTATCCATAGTTTCGGCGTATCAAATTTCCAGCTTCCGGGTCTTTCCGGTTTTGAGCTATTTCGCTCAATGCCGGAATGTACAAAATCTTCTTTTTATTAGAGTAGGAAAAAAAGAATTTTTAATGATACTTTAGAATTACTTTTTATATTTTAAACCGAATTGTGTTGACTGAAATTGTGTTAATTAGTTGCAGAACATGAGAATAGTAAGAAGAATTAAGATCCTAATAGAATTCTAAAGATAATTAGGAGTAGTTTTTTAAACTTAAAACAGCTTAAGAAATAAGCGAGTGGTGACTTATTGGAAATTGTGCAGAATACAACCTTTATGGAAAACAATATACAGGTTAGATTTGGTTAAAAAGGATTTCATCCGCATAAACCTGTATTATGTGTCCATCACCAACTCTCCGATTCCTCAATTAACCCGCGATCACTCGCGCGGGGTGTTCTCTACACCCCAGCAACAATAAAATCCTCCCAGATTTCTAAAAAGAATGTGCAGAACCACGATTTTTTCTGTAGCTGCACATTTTAGGTCATTGAACCTTCAGGCGTGATGCAATCCCTCTTTAAGGAACGGTTGGAATGTAATGACCTTGAAAAGTTTATCTGGAGGGCTGCGAATTCCCGCGAGAAGTTGAGCATTTGTATACAGTCTGCTCTGAAAGTTTGGAAAATGATTAAAATATTATTTTTCTACTTTCTACTATCATTATCTCATTAATTATAAAGTATATTTATTACTGGCATATACGTTTTATACTGGTTTATGAAAAAATATAAAATTATGTGTTTTAAAATGAAAATTTTGTATGTTTAGTTTAAATTAATGTTAGTCTCATTTGCGTGCAATAAATTAAATAATTTTATATGTATAATACAAAACACATCTTGTACTTTATAAATATGTATCATAATGACTTAATTTTTATTTTTATAATTAAATATACGCGTTAAAAGTTTGGGGTGTTTCTACACCCCGCGAGTAACGAAGGTAGCAAAAACAGGCGCGAGTGACCGTGGGTTAAATTGCTTCAATATTATCGGAACGTGGGACCTTTCCACCATTTACAGTAAAGATCTTAGCATAGTAATCTGAAAATAGCATTAAAAATTATTGAAATAAACATTTTCACTGGAAATATAAAATTTGTAGTAAATGCAAAGTGTTTTCTTTATTGAATTTTTTTAAAAAAAGTAGAATATTGTTCTAACTTTTAAGAAACAAAATTGATGATAAACTATCAGAATATATATTAATTTTAAAGTTATTGATCCACACAGATTATAAAACGGAAAATTGGATTACAGTTATGTTTGCCTAAAAGTTTGTACTGTTGGATTTAATTTAAAGATATAAGTTTTTTATAAATGGACTCCCAATAAAGGATGCATAGCGCTTACCGCGAATCTAGTTTCGACATATTTCGGATCTATTTGTGCACATCTTCCAATATGGAGGATTTTGAAATTGATTGAGTAAATAGTTCTAGTAAATGCTTCACACGTGGTGTGATGGGAAATAAAATTTTCAAAGTAAGGACAATCAATATTATTATTAAAACCATTGTTCTGAAACTTCAAATATTGATAGCTTAGAAAAGCTTTATTGACCGAAAGATAAAATGAGGGAAAGGGCGAATATAATTTGCAAGGTGTTTGTTAGTAAATCGATAAGAATTTCTAAAATGAAATTTAGTTTTTATTTGCCGAGTGGTATTCCAGACCAATATTCCATGGATATTAATGGGTTCAATCACAAAATAAAATCAAAATCGATTTATATTCACTCTTTAAACAAATTTATGTCAGAGAGCCAAGATAACAAATTGCCAATAATTAGTCAATTGAAGGATATCATAACATCAAAACATGGACAAGTGACAATACCGGAACTCCCCCTTTACTCTACAAATTTCCACACCACTCTAGGGTGAAGACTTCGTACACTTGAGATATTTAACATGCGTCAAAGCCTCTAAACGGAGGCCCTGAATCGACCACAACAACGTTAACCAAATT